GGAGTACTTTACTTTAGCTCATCATGGTCCTCAAAATAGCGCTAACTTTCGGACTTCCGATCAATGTATTTATTGGGCTCGGAGGGAAAAGCAAGGCGAGCCGGTCAAGAAAAAAGGCTCATCTGCTACGAAGCGCACAAAGCAGAATACGACGTTGATCGCAAAAAAAAACAATGGGAATTATCGACAGTTGAAAATTTCTAATCTTTAATGATACCGCGAATTGACTAGGAGGGTAAAGAACAAGGATCGGCGTAGAAACTTTAATTTTTGAAAAAAAGAGCGTTAAACGTTGAACAATCGACTCACCGATGAGATTCAGGTGTCCCGGGCAAAAGACGCGTACGGTAGGCGCATGACCGTAGACGTCACAAAACATCTCGGCGTTCATTTCTGCTTCTGCTGCTCATCTGCTGACTGTCAGACGGAGGAGCAACATGAGGCCGCCGCCGCCGCATGTTATGCGAAGGACGTAAAGGACACCAGCTGCGTCATATGATCAATACCGACTCCCTGAGAAAACACAGTGTTTCACTCTGAAATCCACACCACTCGGTCAAGTGAACTTGGCGAGAACATCTCAAAGGTCTTCGGCAACCACGTCAGTTGACAGGTCCTTTAGACTTCAGAGATGAGCTGTTTGAATGAAAATAGCAGACTGTCAGACGGAGGCGGGGTCAACGTCGCGTTGGACAAATTTCAAAAATTTTACGACCCCCTTCTGGAGGGCCTCGATACGATCCCCCAGCTGTTACTATAGTATTTGATTCTGAGACCAGTTGACACAGCCCAACTCCACCCACATTCACATTTCCTCCAAAATAGCCCGTCACAGTACGACCCATCGTTGGTGTAGGATTGACGCTGCCTCCGACCTTGCGAATACGACCCCCTCGTTGGACTTTGTCCAACGGTCAGTTGACCCTGGACGCAGGTCGGAGTTGTGGGCCACACCCACTGCTGGGTCATTCTAGCAACCAGTTCTGCTCGAGTGGAAAGGTGGTAGATAGGGCCACATCAAGGTACTGAACAATCAGGAGAATCGAGGATAAGAAATGTGTGCTCAACCAATATCCGAAGGCGTTTCCACCTCTGCACAGACGCGGACTCCGCAACGGTTCTTTACAGGGTACTGAAGGAAACCTGCAGATACTCATGTCTAATTTCTTCCCTTCCAAAAAGAGGTAGCGGTTGAACTGGCCGAATACTTTAACACAACGATTCCTAGATGTGGTGGATATGTAAATGGAATTAGAATGACGCAGAGGAGATTTCCAGATGTCCGAGAAATTTCTCAGACGTCTGGAAAAAAATCTATGAGAAAGGTCCTTGGTGGTGGTCATTTACTAAACACATTCTCCTCGGCATTTAGAAAACCCATTTAAGGAATCCATTGGGAAAATTGCTTCTCCCGCAGTATCATTGGAACAGTAGACAAGCCATCCTTTCGATTTGCAACCGTTTGATACCATTCTCAAAAGTT